TAAGAGAAGTTTTATGGAAGCTCCGTTACTTGCAGCTTGTTCCCATGGTTGGCATAGCATTCTCCACGGCCGAGACTTACTCAAAGAACACCTGGGAAAGGTAATTGGAAATGGTCAGTCAACGAGAGTTTGGCAGGACCCTTGGATCAGCCTAGAAGAAAATCTAAAGCCTTTCGGTCCAATCCAAGACCTTGCCTTAGATCTGAGAGTCTCAGACCTTCTTACAAGTGACTTACAATGGAATGTGAAAAGAATTGAGGAGTTTTTACCTGCCTTTAGCCGACAGATTCAATGCTTAAAACCAAGTCTGGTTGGAGCAGAAGATTCCTTCGTCTGGCTTCCTACCAGCTCTGGAATTTATTCGACTAAATCGGGTTACAATGCCTTAACAGCTCCTCCGGTGTCGTGCTATCAACCGTCCCCTGTACCAATTCCGAGTTTAAACAACGGGTTTTGTTGGAATAAGGATTTTTGGTCAGGGAAATTTTCACCAAAGCTAAGAATGTTTCTTTGGTCTATCATACAAGGTGCCTTACCCCTTGGAGCAAATCTTCACACAAGAGGGATCCTGCTCGATTCACTCTGCCCTCGTTGTAAACAGCCGGAAACAGAGACACACGTCTTCTTTAGCTGCCCCTTTGCGGCTGAGGTCTGGAAACACATACCGACACAACAATCAGTTCACATAGCTGACCCGTCTGATTTCAAACAAGTTCTTATTGCCTTTAGAAGAATTATTTGCTTACCACCTACAGGGATCAAAGGCTCTATTCTCCCTTGGGTTTGTTGGACACTCTGGAATGCGAGAAACAAGCTCATCTTCGAGGACAAAACCTCCAAACCAATGGAGCTCGCTTCAAGGGCTTTGACAGCAGCTAGGGAATGGGAACAAGCTCAACCTGTCCCCCCCGAGTTCCCACTTCTCCCGCCCCCAAGGACTAGCACCGATCCGGTGTGAACCGCTCCAGACTACGACATGCAACATCGACGCCGCCTGGGATTCCGTCTCAAACCGAGCCGGATTAGCCTAGATTTTTAAAGACAATCAACATCAGGAGACTCGATCAGGAGCGGAAGGGTCCGATTTCGTCCTATCACCCCTCGTCGCGGAAGCTCTGGCACTCCGTTTAGGGATCATCACCGCAGCTAACCAAGGAATCGATAACGTTATCTTCCTCTCTGACTGCTCAACGCTCATCCGAGCAATCACCCTGAAGGTTCAGATAAAGGAGATCTTCAGTATCTTAACGGATATTGATCGCCTCTCGTCTAACTTTGTTTCTATCAGCTTCTCTCACATCTCGCGTTCTTTGAACAAAGATGCTGATTCCCTCGCTAAACAGGCCCTTAGGGCTTTTTCCTCTCATGCTTCTGTTTCTCGTACCTTTGTTATTTAGGCCTGTTTGCGGCCCAGACTCAGTTTTTTAATATAATCGTTGTTCAAAAAAAAAAATGATATTTGCAAATCTACAACCCATCATTAAGTTTGATATTTTTATGTTGTAACTTATCTTTGATTGATTACTACTTGATCAAAATAAGTTTGATGATTTTATGTTGTAACTAATCTTTGGCTATGCTTCGAAGCTTATATAAGTTATATTTTGTTACTAGGTGATTTTCCCGTGCTCATGCACGGGTATAAATATTTATAAAATAAATATATTATAATACTTGATTGATATTTACTTTAACTTTTATATTAATTTATAGTTTTTATGTATAATTATATTAATAATATTATATTATTTTAGTTATATATAATTTTAGATATATTATATATAGTTAGTTTATCATTTGGATATATATATATATATATATATATATATATATATTGGATTCTATCTATTTCTCTGAATTCAACTATAATCTTTTTTATTCTAAATATCTTAACTTTTTGATTAATTGTTTTATTTACATTTATGTTGGTTGTTATCTTAGAAATAAGTATATCTTAGTAAGATTATGTATTTTAATATTTTTGTGCTTAGTACGTAAAAAATAAAAACTAAAGTGTCTGATTCTAAATTACATACATAAGTAATAATAAATTTTCAGAAGCTTATGAAAACATATCAATATTTACAATAATTAAATAGTTTAGAAATTTTAAATAATTTCTGCCTTAGATTGATTGGATGGTAAACTGAAATTATTTTAAATAATTTTTAAAATAAAGAATTATGATTTTCTTATGTATTTTGATTATGGTTATATTAAATTCCACAAACATAAAAACAGAAAATTAAACATCAAAAGAGTTATTAAGAAAACATATAATTTTAACTATTAAAATATAGTATATCTACCTCGTTAAATTATATAGTGTTATGATATTTTAAAAGAATTGTAGTTATCTGATCAAAAGATGTTTACCATTAAATTTATTTTTAGTTTTGTTTTTATTATCTCTTAAAATATGCAGTAAAAATGTGATTGTTTTTGAGAAATTATATTATATAAGTAAATATAATTTATATTTTTTGCTGTAGCAGTAAGATATTATAATCAAATAAATATAATAATTATAATTTTTTTGTCAATTAAACATATATTATTTTATCTTACTTAATTATTTTATGTAATCATCTAATAAAATAGATAGATATATACAAAAACTAATTACTTTGAAAATATATATTTTATTGTTTAAATTATTTGTTTAAAGAAAAAATATTTCTTTTTCTAATATCAAGATTATTTGTATGAATTTTTTTTATGAAAATACATTATATACAAATATTTTTTTCATCTAAGAAGATATAGATATAAAGTATAATTACTTAAAAAGTATAATTTATGTTATTTAAAAATATATTTAAGTTAAATATTACTATTTTGTAAACTTTCCTTTTTTATGAAACCATATTATATATATACTTATTTTTCGTTTTTAAATAGTTTTGTAAATTTCAGACATATTTCATTTTTGTTTTATATCGTTATTTGGAAGATTTTAAAAAGGAATAATAATATTTAAATATATTTTTAATTTATTAGGGGTATCATAGTAATCAACCAGCGTGAGAATTAACGTGAGCGCGACACCTAAGAAATTGACTTCTCAAATAATATTATAGAGATTATACATTTATAAGTGGTCATAACTAGAACGTAACCTGTCTAAAATAGAAAAAGTTGAATGGATTTTATCAGAGTTCAAGAAGGTTTCTTTTTGCGCTTCTTTCCAAGTTATCATGTCTATGTCTATCATTTAACCATCTACCATGTTACCGTATTAAATAACTGATTATTCTTTTCAGTATCGTATTGAATTAGATGGTAGCGCTTTGAAAAAAATATACTATTTTCTCACCAAACCATGCCTATATATACCGAGTACAAAAAGTTGATTACTTTAGTGTAAGTCTTCTACTTAGAAATTTAAAATGTTTAGACATAAGTTCATACTTTACCAAAATTGTTCCTTAGCTATTATCATTCCATGACGTGGAATCGATAATTCTCTTTTATTGTAGATTCTTCTACCTAATGTAATGTGTACATTACATGTCATGGTCCAGTATCCTATATATCATCTTATAAATTATAATACTCCACTTGCCTAACAACTTGATTTCTACATTCGAAATATATGTAGACATGCAATGATGCAAATCTACAGTTTTTATAAACTTTCAATAGTTGACAAGGGCATAAATACAACTCTCTCAGAGGAAAAAAAACATGACAAAATGTGCTAAGATACGACAAAAATACAAAGCAGTTAAATTTTAGAACTTGACATCTCCAGTAGTCAAAACCTCTTTCAATAATTCTCAAGTACTGCTATAAATTAAGAAATTGGCCAAATATGTTAGATGCATTAATGAATTTCAAACAAAACGACTTTGTAGAAAAGATCTCGTTGTAATAAAAAGTTACGGACTAAGGTGTTTGAAAAAGATTAATATGATAAAGATTCAACTAGTATTACGGACGTGGGTATATTAACATGACATCTATTTAATTAAAATAAAATTAATGTTCCATTCTCCACTAGAACTTATCCGTAAGATCACATCCATACTTCAACAAAACACACCGAATTTAGAAACTTAGTGTAGAAGTATGTTCTTATGGTCAAGTCATTGTCACTTTCAGACAAAATATATAACGTTGGCCGGATTATTTTTATCTTTCTTTATACAGTGGCCACCTTACCACACCAGCTAAGTTACTTAATTTGATCTAGATGTCTATGTTAATGGACGCCATAACTACATTTAATCTTTAAATCTTAAATCTAATAGTACAATTAGTTTTATGTGCTGTAAGCAGTTAGAAATATTAAAATTATCTTTTAAAGAAAACAAAGAGCAGCAAGGGTCAAGATCTTGATTGATGAAGTTGGAAACCATGGTGGGATGTATTATTTCAAACACACAGATTTCAAGGAGAATGTTTGGGTGGATCCCACCTTCTTTAATCCTTAGACTTGTGACTTGTCTTTCACAATATTCTTCTTCCCTCTCTTCATTTTCAATTTGTTTTACTAATAAATAATTTCCTCTTCTGTCTACTGTCTTAGCACATCGAAAACCAAACACATGCTTGATATTTTAGTTGTTTTCCTAACCAAAGCAATCTAGAATAAGTTCATGACATCAACATTTTCCAAACTCACTCACGCCATAGTCGTAATCAAAATGCATCAGGTAAATTAGGTAGCTTACCTAGTTATTGCAAACAAACCCCAATCAATTGTTTGTGTGGTCAGGAACGAGTTCAGTAATTAATTTAGATGGAGATTAAATGAATAGTAGTTTTATTAATTAATTGAGATGGTAGGGCTTTAACCAGTCTTTAGCAATAAATAATATAGATAAGTGTATTTAGTGTGGATCATGTGAAAGTCATCAGAGCTTACCTGTCTCTTTTTATATAATCTCTCTTGATTTTTATTGTTTATATATGCACCAGTTCTGTAACTTAATACCATACATACATGCGTTTCGTGAACAAACCATACTATGCTGCTGCAGATAGTTTTTTTTTTTTTGTAAAAATTGCTGCAGATAGTTAGTTACACACTATATATACTTCAAAACATTTCGCACTCATTTATTTATAACGTCTGAATTTATTAGTAGACAAAGATTTGATAAAGTAGAATCATCAAGAGAAGGAACATCAGAAGACCAACCAATGTATCATTTATAACCTGTGTGAGCTAGCGAGCCATAACGAAATTGAAAACAAATTTAAGTCATTCAATATGCATGCACCCCCAATAATATCCTTAAATCCAAACTAACCCAAAATTAACAAAAATATGAAAAAAACTCCACCAATAAGAACATTCAAAGTGAAATTAAGATCATATTAGTTAATTAAATAAATACCAGTAATTAACCATTAATGATAATACTAGCTTCATCATCAAACTGAGAAAAATTAACACCATGATCCACCACTCAACATCCCAGTCCAATACCCACCAGAAGTAGCAGCTGCATCACTACCACTTGCTCGCTTCTGGTGATCATTAATGTCGACATTACTTGTTGCTGATGAAGAAGAAACTGGCAATTTCAAATCCTCAAAAGGAAACAAGGGCCTTCCGTTCACATCATCACCACCCTCTCCTCCTTCTCCTCTTTGGAATCCTCCGGGGAAATCAGTATTACGATGATGATCCAATGAAAACCCTAGCAGTGTGGTGTTTGAGTGACTAGGCTTGTAATGATCTTGCATCGAAAACCCTCCAGATGTTGGATCTTGATTATGAACTGGAAACCCCATGAATGAAGAATTCCCATTATTACTATTGTTGTTTCTTATGAAATCCAGAGGGGAAGTTGCCATAGCTGACGTGGCAGAACATGAAGAACTAAGCAATAATGGATTGTTGGTGAGCTTGTTGTTGTTCCCAATGTTGTGCATGAGGTCAGTGAAGTTGGTCCTGATCAACCCGTGTGGTGGAAATCCTAAATTGAGATCTTGTTGAGTCGTTTCAAGGAATTTAGGTTTTTGACTGGTCAACCCTTGTGGAGACATGCTTATTAGGTGATGATGTTGATCAGAGTGATGCTTCTTTATAGCTGGTTGTGTAGAACCCGAGTGATTAATGTTACTAATATCAGATGAAGAAATAGAAGAAGAGTGAGATCTCTTGTTCTTTCTTGAGCCACCACCAACAGGGATGTTCCTAAGCGAACCGCCTTCCGTCCAATACCGTCTACAACCTTTGCAAAAGAATCTTGGCTGCGTCAAGCTATAATTGTTGTAGTAACAAAACTTTGTATTGGTTGAGTTACATCTTGGACAGTTTATAGCTTGGTCCTTTTCTGGTCTTGCCTTCCTCTCAGCTCCACCCGCCGCCCCAATGGGTGGTGGCTGCTGCAGCTGGGACGGTTGCGGCGTTGGGCATGTGTTTGTTACTATTTCTTCCAAGGGCTTCACTACAATCTCCTGATCATTAAAATCACCAAAATCAACTCTTTCAACCATAGCAAACAAAAAAAAAAAAAACTCTTTCAACCATTAGAACAGAAGCATATTACATATATAAGACATTATCAAACATGGAAACTTGAGAAAGGCTTTAACCAAAAATATATTAAGAAAAAAAAAGAAAATTGATAAAAGGGTAAAGTGAAAAACATATGTTTAATATATAAAAGAGAAGAAAACATAAAAAGAAGATCCAAACACTTTAAACTCTTAAGTTAATATCAGTACTGAGCCAAGATGAATTAAATGATCCAATCTATATGAACACATACATAGTAGAGTTCTAAGAATATGGATACGCATATATATTATATTTATGTTTTGTGTATACCTGTGGCCATTGAGCCGTATCCATAGATGAGCAGAAACAAACCTGGTTCTTAGTTTAATTCTAGCTTAGATTTGAAAGAGAAAAAAGGTTATATTTTTTTGTTGGATGAAGAGAAAGAAAATTTTGATGGCTGAGAATTCTTTTTGGGTGAGGAACTTCTGTGTATGCTTGTCTGATCACATCTGCTTTATGGTAGAGGAAAGAGAGATATAGAGAGCAAATTGTATAATATAAGATTAGTAAAACATTCCGAGTGGGAATCTTTGTCCTACTACAAATAATAAAATAAACTAATACGCGTATATATAATATATGCATGTATGTATGGGCTTATGTGTATATGAGTGTGACTGGAATGCATGACTAGCGATATATTTTTGAGTGGGAAGAATATTTACTCCAGTTTCAGCTTTTATTTTGCCAATCAGGTGGAAAACAATTTAATTTCTTTTACTCTAATCACTGTTTGAACAGAGTAAAACATAATTATATTTTCTATCTTGATTTATACAGAGTTACAAAATTAACGCTGGTTTCTGTTTATTATTTCCTTTTCTTTTCTTTTGTTTACTCCACATATTTTCCACTCATTTACTCTTCTTTAATTTACTCTCATTTACTCTAACAATATCCAATCACACTCTATATATATTGCTAGGGAACTCTCTACAGCACTTATAACTTAATGAAAGGATTGATGTGATGAAATATAAAAATGGAAGGATCAAATATTTAACCTATATGTTTTTCTTTTTTTTATGTTATATTTTATAATTAATTTGATAATTCTAATAGGTTAAAACCTATGTATTATTTGTGTTATTTTGATAATGATACTTGAAAATCTATGAACAGATAGATCATATGGTGCATTTCAAATAACTGCACTACAAAGATGAATTTTACTGAAATATTAATTCTTATCGACATTTTGTAGCATATAGTAATTCTGTCACTAAACGTGATAACTTATAAAATTTCATCGATTTTTCAGTCAAAAAAAAGTTAGACATTTTCTATTATCAATTTTTAAAAATTTGTGTCAATCCTTCGCTAACTCTTGAAGAGTTGCGCATCAAACGTTTTACAAATGATTTGAAGTATATATATTCAGAAAGTTCTAAAATTAGCTGTTGAAGATTAAGCATAAAGTTCAAACAGAAACAAACATTAAGCATAATTTACATCCACCCATGTGTCGTCAGTAGGATACCGATGAGCCACCACCGGACCTCAGCGGCAAACAAACATTTTCAAGTAAGTATCTATTGCAATATGTGTATAATAAGAATTACAAAGACATATGGCGAAGGATTGACAAATATAGCAGTCCGATAATCAATCGTTAAATTTAGTGATTTCGCTAAACGTTTTACCTTTGAATTTGTATTATAAAATACATGTTCTTGTTGAGGCTCTATATTGTCTAAATTACAATCTAACTAGCTAATCATATAGGCTATTAATAGATACTAGATAATAATCAATGCCTCGCACAGAATAAAATTATTATTTTATTATCTTTTAGAATAAGAAAATATTATGTCTGTTAAACATATGTTACACAAAATTGCTGATGGTGTTGCGTTTCTAATTTCCAAAATAGAATCGGAACTGGAAATGTTCGGCGTCACGAAATCGCGTTTCTAGAATTATGATGTTTGGAAGCATAATGGTCATTTATTGGAAGTTTGACTATGGTTGTATTGTTGATGTGCAAAAAAATGGAATATTATCTTTATGGGCATACAAAGTTTAATTGATTTATCCTCATTAAATTTACTTTATTTTTAAAATCTTAATTCATAAATAACAATAAAATTGAACACTAAAAACGTAAATCTATTCCAACTCAAGGTTTTTGAATAATAAACTAATTATAATATACTTCTTTCACTTATTACTTTTGCTTCATGTTGTTATAGTATCAGTTGGTGTGTATGAAATAATTAATTCTCATACTTTATTTTATCACTTTCAAAACAATTATACATATGATTACACATGTTATATTATAATTGTTCTTTGTAACTATACATATTTTTTATTTGAGTTATAGTATGTAAATTATGTAGTGAATTTTACTATTTAAAATATTTTATTCAATATATTAACTTTGGTATTATATATATATATATATATATATATATATATATATATACGCTTCCAATACGTATCTACTTCCTAATATTTCTAAAATTGCGATTCCGCGCTTTTTACTGCTTCTACGCTTACCAGTTTCCGTGTACCCGATTCCACGTATCCGTTTCATGTAACATAGTTTTAATCAGTATATCGGTTCGACTTTAGGTTTGGTTTTTTAGTTTTTAATCTATTAAATTATAATTATTATTCTTAATATTTTGTTTATTTGGTTAAAATGTTAGAAGTCTTTAGATTTTTTAATGATATTATTTTTTTTGTTTCATGGTATATGAATTTTAAACAATCCTAATAACAAACCAATGGTTTCATATTATAACTTTCAAAGACACAAAAATCAAATCATATCTAGATGATAATTGAAGAAAAAATGATTAACAAAATTCATTTCATTACAATTTGGTCAATGGTGAATGGAAATATTTAAAAGTAAAGCTTCCAAGAGAATTATAATCCTCACTTGTAATGAATATTTAGTTATATAGATGTTCACGTCAATGTGCATATATATGTAGGGTTAGGCAGAATATCTATAAATTTTGATTTTACTCATCATCCTTTTCGATTCGAACAAAAAAAATCTGGATATTCGTAACTTTACGAAGAAAAATAATACTAATATGCAATATCCACAAAAAAAAACGAAGCAAATCAAAAATATTAATTTTTTAAAAATGGATATTCGATATGATCCATTATATACCTATATATATATATATTTAATGAAGTACATATAAGTTATATAAATAATATATTCCATATAAGTTTTACAATATTTTATTTACTAAATTTATTAAATGATGTATTAGTATTCAAAACAGTAAATAAGTTTCTTTTTGTAACAAAATTTTATTATTTTATATTTTTTATTTATTTAATTTTTTTATGGAAATTTCACCTAATGACTAACAAAATCACCATAATTTACTAACTAACTAAAATTGCACTCTCTTTCCTTTTCTTTCTTCTTATCTCTCTCTACTCTTTTTCTACAAAACTAAATTTTCTTTTTTTACTATTTATTTCACAACTAAGTCTTTTTATTTATTTTTACAGATCAAACCGGTTAAAATATAAATTTACGGGACATTGTATATCTGGATGGCTACGAATCGAATCGAATTGGATAATTGATAATTTTAGACAAAACATATTAGATCAATACCTCCAAAATCTTGAATATCCGATTCGTGCGCACTCTTACATTGTGTTATGTAAAAAATATATAAAGATGGTTGATAAATACATAAAGATACCGTAATTAACATTAAAAAAAAATTGTTTAAAATAAAATATGAAATATAATATTCTTTTAAAATAAATTAAGTGAAAATATAATAAAATAAACTTAGACAATAGTAAATTTATTGTAAATTTTCTTCCTATGTAGAATTTTTGGAACCGTATATGTATGTTTTTTTAAAAAGAAATGTAAAATAGTATATAGTGTGAACGTATTTATGTAGAATTTGGCCGAAAAACTCTCTACACGTGACACATCAGTGTACTTATTCTCAAATCGCTGTGAGACTGCAGCGTGGCAAACGTAATGTGAACACATTAAATAATAATGTTTCTCCTTTAATATATAGGAGATATGACATAATAAATTTTAGATTTTTTTTTTTATTAACCTAGGATATTATAGGTATATGGAAAGACCCAGACTAATCATCCAAGAGGACGTACAGTTCACAAATAGACATTCTCTCTGAATATTCAAATGGCCTCTAAATCATAGACTCATATCCGTGTTAGGTAACCAAGATAATTGTGACTTAGTTCCACGCAACAAGATAAATTTTCGAATTTTGGTAAGATTATTATTTTATTTAACATGTTATTACTTTGGAAAAATTACAAAATTACTTCATCCGTTCCAAAATAATTTATATCTCAAAAAATTTACACATATTAAAAATTTATGCTAATAGATATATTATTTTTAATGATTAACTATTTCTCATAATTTTTAGCTAATCAAAATTTAATAAACACAATTAATGTCTTCAAAACTTACAAATTACCATTATTATATGTATTCATAATTGTGAAATATACTTTTTAACAAGTTTTTTATAAAATATTTTTTTATATTGAAATAGTGTGGCTAGTTTTATTTTTGTTAACGCTCGATTGTATTATTAAATCATTTAGACAAAGATTCTTAACAATGAAAACTAGCAAAATAAATATAGAAAATTGATACACCAGTAGAGATCCAATGTAAACTAACACATCTTTGCGTATGGATAATTAAAGATTCCATGTAAAAGCTCCAAATTTGCTTCTAGAATAGTTGAATCCCAAAAGAGATAATCTTCGTCTTAATCCAGAAACACCATGCTTCAGACTTAGTTAAAAATGATTGCTATTACTCTAGTAGGAGCCAATGAGAGAAAACAACTATTTATATTGTTTTGATAATAACAAAGTCAAAGAGTTTACCATTCCATAGTTCATAATGACTCCAGATTCTTTCATTTTAGAATTTTATTCAGACTTTCGAAATAATCATAGTTTACAACAAGAACTCCATCACCATCAAGTGAAGAATCATCAACGATTGAAACTGATAAGATTATCCACAGCAGATCTATCAATTACTTTTTTAAATAATTTAATTATGTAATTTTTAAACGATTCAATTATTTAAGACTTTTATTTAAGACTTTTGTAGTTACAAAAATTATTTACTTTTCTACGTGATTCACACCAGATTCATATAGTTAACATTTAACTCTTAACATACATGAACCTGTTATTTGTTTTTTTTCTTTTACTTGTGTTTATTTTTATTTTTTGAGCAAAACTTGTGTTTAGTCTTTGTTACAGTGTCCACCATCTGTGTCTAATTGTGTAAATTAATTAAAAAAAAACTTGTTCATCGTCATCACTTCAAGAAAATTGTCAAATCTGAAAATCCGAGTTTATCATTCCATAGTTCATAATGACTCCAGATTCTTTCATTTTAGAATTTATTCTGACTTTCGAAATAACCATAGTTTACAACAAGAACTCCATCACCATAAAGTGAAGAACCATCAACGATTGAAACTGATAAGACCCATCGCTATCATCGACAATA